CAACCCTGGATCCTGACTCCAGTCTCCTGGCAATGCAGATCCTGGAGAGCTGCAGTGATGCCTCAAAAACTTGGGCTTCTGCCACTCGCCTAGAGACCTGGTTTGTGCTGCAGGCACTTGGGACGTGAAACAGCAAATGGGAATTCCCAGTTTTTTTCTCTTTTGCAAACAACAATTTTTAAAAATTTTTTAAATCATGAAATATAACAGTAGATCATACATCACTTAATCTCTAATGAAAAGAAACAGTTTGGGGGCCAAGTATGGTGGCCGAATGGCTAGGGTCCTTGCCTTGAATGCACCAGGATCCCGTATAGGTGCTGGTTCTAGTCCCGGGTGCCCCGCTTCCCATCCAGCTCCCTGCTTGTGGCCTGGGAAAGCAATAGAGGACAGCCCAAAGCCTTGGGACCCTGTGCCACATGGAAGGCCTGGAGGAGGCTCCTGGTTCCTGGCTTCAGGTCGGCTCAGTTCTGGCCAGTGCAGTCACTTGGGGAGTGAATCATCAGTTGGAAGATCTTTCTCTCTATCTCCTCCTCTCTGTGTATCGGACTTTGCACTAAAAATACATAAATCTTAAAAAAAAAAAAAGAAACAGCTTTTAACTGAAAATATCTAGTTCTATACTTCAGTGTTAAAACAAAAAGCAGGGCTGTACTGTGGTGTAGTGAGCAAAGCCATCATTTGCAACACCAGTATCCCAGCTGGGCACTAGCTGGAGTTCAGCTGCTCCGGTGACAATCTAGCTCCCTGCCAACATGCCTGGGAAAGCAGAATATGGCCTCTGTACCTACTTAGGAGACCAGCAGAAGCTCCTGGCTTCCACCTGGGCTCAGCCATGGCTTTGCAGCCATTTGGAAAGCAAACTAGCAGATGGAAGACCCCCCCCTTCCCAACTCTGACTTTCAAAGACTTAACTACCTCAAAGCTAAAGTCATCCACATGTATTTGTTAAGATCCCAGTACTGCAGCAGCAGATGTGGCAGTCTACCATGAGGCAGAATTCAGAGCAGAAGCCACAGTGGGTAACTCTGATTAGGGTACCCTCGTTCACAGGGCAGACAGGCTGTGAGCACCTATGGGTTCCATCAGAGGTTATTCAATTTACTCTTCAGTGTAAATTCAGTGGCTTTAGATTTAAGCAGTTACTCTTTCAAAAATGCTTCTTAGCTGTTTAGGAATACAATTTTTTTTTTTACTTACTTACTTATTTTTCTCGGAAAGGCAGATTTACAGACAGGAGACAGAAAAATCCTCCATCTACTGTTTCACTCCCCAAGTGACCGCAACAACCAGAGATGAGCTGATCTGAAGCCATGAGCCTGGAGCCTCTTTCAGGTTTCCCACACGCAGGTGCAGGTCCCAAGGCTTTGGGCCATCCTCCACTGCTTTCCCAGGCCATAAGCATGGGACTTCAAGTGAAGTGGAGCAGCCAGGACACGAAACAGTGCCACATGGGATCCCGGTAAATGCAAGGTGAGGACTTTAGCCACTAGGCTACCTCACCGGGCCTTGAGGAATACCATTTTTTTTTTTTTTTGCAGGCCAGGAAGTTCCGAAAAGCTACCTTGCCCAATATTAGACATTCCATAGGGACAGAAGACTAAAAATGTACATTCCATGGCTTCCCCTATGGCACTTGCACTTTGAGTCCTGGCTGTTCCTCTTCCAATTTAGCCTCCTGCAAATGTACCTGGGAAGGCAGCAGCAGAGGACCCTAAGTGTTGGGGTCCCTGTACCCATGTCCCTGGATGGAGTGCAGGGTTCCCATCCTGGCAGTTGCAGCCAGTTAGAGAATTAGAGAATGAACCATCCAATGTAATCTCTCAATTTCAAATAAGCAAATACATCAAGGAAGAAAGGCAGGAAGGCAGGGCGGCAGGAAGGAGGGGAGAGGCAGTGTGAATGGAGAAGCTTAGGGAGGGGACAGGTCCCTGCAGCACTGGCCCCCGGCCTGCTTTGTTGCCTGCTCCCTGTTCCAGGAAACTGCTCTGAGTCCCTCATGGTGCTCAGGACACACACTGCTTCCCTTGAGGGCCTGTCCTGCTTTTTCATGGCTTACGAGGCACACAGCTGCTTCCCTTTTCATAGTAGCCCACAAGATGCAATCAAAGGCCTGGTACAACCTGGGAGCCGCAGGTCAGACCCCAGCACTCGGCGTGTTCCCATGTACCACAGACCCATCGCTACCAGCTCCTGCTTTCCCTGGCCCTGTGATGGCTTTTTGTAGACTGCAAATTACTGATCCTTTTGTTCTTATTAAGAAAGAGTGTTGATTCGCCAGGATCAAGGAGTCTTAGTTTCTAGGCTGGTTTCAAACATCTTCCTATCTTCCTGCCTATTTAAAAAAAAAAACTGTATTATCTCAAGCTTTTTCCCCTAGATTTTTCCTGATATATATACCTAACATCAAACACTGTCTAAATCCACTGATGAATGGTTTCCACAGGTGAAGTATAAAGAGACTAAAGGTTTATTAATACAAGTGAGTACACACAGAGGCAAGGAATCACAAATCCAATACATGTACCAACCCTAATTTTCTACTACTAAGAGCTAACAGTCGCCAGGTACTTACATTAAGCCAGAGGCATCTTGGCAACATGGATTTGCAGAGGGAGAGAGTATGTGACTATCACATCCCCATATTTACAGGTTAGGAAACCAGGACAAAGGTGCCAAGCCCAGCATCATGTTGGTAGACAGTGGTAGAGAGGAGGCTGGAGCCCAAAAGCTCCAGACCCAAAGTCCACTCTATGCTGTTTCTCCAAGATGTTCTTTACTTTTTTTAAGTTGGTTAAAAAAGGATTAAGGAAAAAAAAAAGGACACTAAACAACGTATCAATCACATAGTGAGTGAAGAAAAAGCAGGAAGGAATCAAAACCCAGTAAAGTCTAAATTCACATTTCCAACCACCCTCCCCACCCAGTCAGCCCCAAGTTTTCTCCAGGCAATCTCATAGAAAGGCTGAGCAAACATTGATGTTTGACTTCCAAGTCTAGAACAAATTCCAACCAGCATGACATGAATAATCACAATCTCAAGAAGTGACAGGTGGAGAGCAAAAATGGGGGTAGGGTGGGGCAGAAACCAGGATTCATACTAAGGCATTGTTGTCAGGAATTGGAATTCTTCGAATACCCCAGCTTCCTTTGTGACTGTGGGCAGACCACACTCCAGAGACCAGCATCCCCATCTGCAGAGGCAACTGGATAATCCCAGCCTCCTTTCCCACTTCACAGGGCTGCTTGCTCTGCTCTGAATATCAAAGCTTTGCTATGAAAGAATCCCGTATGAAAGGAACATGTAAGAGGTGATTAAAGAACAAGTTAGATGCTTACACAGATGTAAACCCACAGCGTTTACAACTTTCCAAAGGTTCGTGAGCCAGCCTCCGCACCTCCTGTGTCTGCTCAATAAGTAGGAGAAAGCTAGAAGCTGCTCCATACATTAGTCAGCAGCATAAAGGAAAATCAGCAAGGATGTGGCCATCCTAGCAAAGTCGGTGCCTTGAAGGGCAGCCAAAGTTATCAGACACTCATTTACAATGCAAAAGGTAAAAAGACGGCCAGCCAAGAATCACGGGAAGAGTTAGAATTAACCTGCGGGAGCCCGGCCAGGGGTTAGGACAAACTCATTCCTCGCACAGGCTCCTGAGGTTTGCAAACCTCAACCTGGGAAAGGACACAATAAAATTTTGCAACAAAGTTTTCAACTGGCGAGGCGTGGGTTCAACACCGCACACAAACCACCTTTCAGTTCTTGGGGGGCTAGGGGAAGTGCTCCGGGAATCATGTTGATTAACTTAACACATTTGGAAAAGGAAAAGGACTTGAATCTATTTTAGATGCACGGACTGAATCCGACGGCTTTTAGAAGAGCTGCATCTTTCGCCCAGCGGCTCACCCCGCAGTCCCCAGGGACGTGCAGGCTCCGAGCAGGCAGGACGGTGCCATAGGGATCCCGACGGGCCACGACTCCCAGGAGATTAATGGGAATGAAACCCGCAGCAGCCTCCTTTGTGGCGCTCGGACCGGAACAGCACAGAGCAGACAATGAGCGGTCTGTGCGCAGTTCCGCGCCGATTGGCTGGTCTCTCCCCCCTCCAGAAACCCCTGATGTCATGGGCTTGGAATGCAGGGAGGGAGGAAGGAAGGAGAGGATTTGGGGAGGGGGACGCCTCTCATCTCTTTCCCAGGCCGAAAGTCCCAAAGATAAACCCAGCGCATTCCTAACGTTCGATGGAAAAGCGGAGCGTCACCAAACACCAATCACTCCCAACTGCCACCCGACATACAAGCCCTCAACAAAAGCGGCCCATGGCTATGCTGAGACTCGAGTGGGTTGCGAACTTCCCTGGCACGCTGCTTTATTTAGACTCGGGTATCCTCGACGCTAACGCTCCCACCGCGGCGCGCTCGGGCTTTTGTCTGGGACCCCCGCACCGCAGCAGCGATGGCCCTGGGGCGCCGGCATTGGGACGCTGCCCTGGGTTTCCAGGAACAATGAGGAGCCCCACCGAGGCTTAGGCAGCTGCCTAACTCGCCTCCCGGCGCAGCGCAGCTGAAGAGGGAAGCGCCCAGCAGGCCAGGGGTCCCGCGCCAGGACTCGCCGGACACCCGGGCGCACGGGCCGGCCCCGCCTAGAAGCCCACAGCAGTGGGGAGCAGCGAGCGCCCCCTTCCCCGAGGAGCGCGTCGTGCAGCCCGAGAGGCCCGCGCAGCGGAGCTCCGGGCGCCCGGGAACGCACTACCCGCCGCCGCCTAGTCCCAGCCCCCCGGCGCGGGAACAAAGCCAAAAGAGTGCTGGGGAGCCGGCGCCCCGGGCCCCGGGGAGAGGACGCGCCGAGGACGCCCGGCCACCGGCGCACCATCCCGACGCCTCCTTTTCCGCTGGACCCTTCAGGAGGCTGGCAGCACGGCTCAGCTCCGGCTCTAGTCGTCGGGGCTCCCGCCGCCCCGCCGCATCTTGCACCCCTGGCCATCCCCCGAACCCGGGCGTACCTTGTTCTTGACCTCGGCCGAGAGCCCGTAGGAAGGGCCCTTGTTGAAGTGGGTCATGGTGCTTTGGGAGGCTGCGCTGTGTGGGGGGAGATCCCGCAGTCTGTCGCACTCGGCTTCCCCCTCCTGGCCCCGAGGAGTGGCCGCCGCGGAGGGATGCTCGGAGCTCGCTTCTCCGGGCAGCGCGAGGGACGGCCGGACGCGACGGCGGGGCGCGGCCGGTGCCTGGGCGACTCGGTCCCGACTGGGTGCGCAGAGCCTGGCGGTGCGCTCCGGAGCCCCGCTGGCCGCCTCGCTCGCTGCCCGCCCCGCGGCGCCGCACGCTCTGCCCCACCGCCTCCCCGGGGCTGTCGGGGATTGGCCGGCGCGCCGGGCCAATGGGGGGCCGCCGGCTCCCGCCTCTCCGGAGAGGGGGCGGCGCGGCCAATGGCGCGGCGGCGGGCGCGGCGTTTCCCCCGCCCTGCGCGCGGGGCCCGGGTCCCCGCCCCTGCTCACGCCACCCGGGCCCGCGCCGGCCACGCCCCCCTGGACCCGGCCAGCGGCCTGGGCGTCGGCCTCCCGCCCGCGCTTGGGGGCTTCCCGGCAGCGGCGTCTCACGTCCCGTCTCGTCTGCGAGCGCCTGGCGGCGACCGGCTGAGGAAGCCCCCCACCCGGGCTTGACCCGCCGCCTTCTTGCCTGCCCGGGGCGTCCCCGCCGAGGATAGGGCCTCTCCACGCGCTGCTGCGCTTCCACCCTGAGGGTTCACCACCGACACCTGCTGCTCCTCCCTGCCTCACCTGGCGGCCTCTCACACCTGTTCGTTTCGCCTGCATCCCGCTGCCTCCAGACGAAACTTTTTGGCTCAGTTTCTAACTGGTGTGCGCCTCTCAGCCAAGCTTGAGTCCGTCTCTGGATTCGCAGCCCCCTCTCTGTTCATTCTTTGTTAATCCAAAAAATTCCGCTGGTCCCAAACGCCAGATGTCTGTGGCTCTCTCGCGCTGTTTTCTCCTTCATTTTGAAACTGGGACTCTGTGCGGAGATGAGTGAGCATTCTTTAGACAAAACTGGACTCACCATCCTCTCCTGGTTCCGTGTTCGACCATCCTTGCAGTCATGTGCTAGGAGCAGAGAACTTGTGCTGTCACCCACCAGTTCCCCTGTGGCCTGCCCATCCTGCACGGTTGCCGAACCCTGCACCCCTCACTCCACGTTAACACGCTAGAGAGTCTGCTTCAGAGGCGTGAAAGCTCAGAGCCTTGAGCATCCTATCTCATGTCAGCTGCCTCAAGAGCTTCCCTGTCGCCACCACTTTCTGGTCTCCTTTCCAGGTAAGTTTCAATCCCCGAGATCCTAGCGTGAGAGCTTTACTTACCAAACACCAGCTACCTGTCCTGTGTGCCAACCTTTGCTTGAGAACAGGAGCAAAAAAAATCTCACTGTAGCAAAACCACTCCAGGAATGAAATAAGGTCATTTAGAAAGGGAAGGCTAAGGGACCTGCGCTGTGGGCTGATAGAGGTTAGGCTAAGCTTCTGCCATCAGCACCTACATCCTGTATGGGTACCAGTTCGTGTCCCGCCTGCTCCACTTCAATGCAGCTCTCTGCTTATGGCCTGGAAAAGCAGTGGAGGATGACCCAAGTCCTTGAACCCCTGCAGCCACGTGGAAACCATGGCAGAAGCTCCTGGCTTTGGGTTGGCTCACTTCTGGCTCTTGCAGCCATTTGCAGTGTGAACCAGCAGATGGAAGACTCTCCCTTAACCCTGCCTTTCAAGTGAAAGTAAACAATTGTTAAAGAAGAACAGGAAAAAAGGAGGAGGAGAAGAAAAAGAAGGACTTGCATAGAAACCATTGATTTTGCAAAGATTTCCCAGTGACATGGCGGCAGGTGGTGCTTTGAAGGAAGAGGGTGGTGGAGGAGGCAGTTAGGAAAGTGAGATGATTTATAAGTGATTTGCTGACTTTAGAGGGTGGTGATGATAATTAGGTCATCTTCCCACACAACAATGACACAATTGACCCACTACAGGTGTGGCAAGCAGTTTGAGCTGTTCTTCCAGTGGGGTGGCAACATTAGCATGTCATGCTCAAGACTTCACCCACTTTTCTTTAGGAGACACCAGCCAGGTTTGAGGTACAGATCAGAATCCAGCTTGTCTAGCCTTTCTGCAGCAATTTACATGACTACCCCTGTTCTACCACAGCTGAGAGGGAAAATAGTCAAAATTATCTTAATTACTATGGTTTGAATGAGAGGTAGCTCTGAACTCATGCAATCTTAAGAGGGAAGACTTAATCCAATCCTGGTGTCTAGGAGGTGGCCCTAGTGAATGGTGCCTAGCTCTGGGAGAATGCCTGAAAGTGGTTTGCCATTTGCCAAACCAATGGAGCTGGCCTGGTCTCGGATTTAGAACCATGAAGAACCGTGAGCCCAAATGAACTTCTTTGCTTCAGAATTAGCCTGTCCCAGGTATTTAGTTGTAGTAAGGAAAAGCTAGTTCATCTACCCAAAGGTCATTGCTTACAGAATATTTAAGAATTATATTCAATTTGTTGTGAAAATGTAAACTTTATTGCCTAATGCAAGTAACTGCCTAAAAAGTACACTTTTGGGTGATGATGTTCTGAAGATAAATGCATGAGGTGGTAGCTCAACAATGAAGTACACTTCATGTTACTGTATACTTACGTGGCTTTACGTACTTGAAATTCTGATGTTGCCACTGGAATTTACTATTAAAGTATCATTGGTCATATTGGATTCCATCGGTACTCTGGAGGCTTCTTTCATTTTTTTTTTTTAAAAGATTTGTTTATTTATTGGAAAGTCAGATATACAGAGAGGAGGAGAGACAGAGAGGAAGATCTTCCGTCCAATGATTCACACCCCAAGTGAGCGCAACGGCCGATGCTACGCCGATCCGAAGCCAGGATCCAGGAATTTTTTCCGGGTATCGCACGTGGGTGAAGGGTCCCAAAGCTTTGGGCAGTGTTCAACTGCTTTCCCAGGCCACAAGCAGGGAGCTGGATGGGAAGTGGGGCTGCCGGGATTAGAACTGGTGCCCATATGGGATTCTGGTGCGTTCAAGGCAAGGACTTTAGCCGCTAGGCCACACCGCTGGGCCCCAGGCTTCTTTCATTTCTAATCAGACTCATTATTGAAGAATAAATAAATGGGTAAAACTTTAAAATTTTGTGATCTTGTGGGAGCAGGTGGTTAGCCTTGTGTTTAAGGTGCAAATTAGAGTGCCGATATCTCAGCTCCGAGTTGAGTGCCAGCCCCAAGTTATAACTTCCTGCCAGTGAGACCCTGGCAGGCAGCAGTGATGGTTCAAGTAGCTGGGGTTCTGCTACCCACTTGGAAGACCTGGACTGACTTCCTAGCTCCCTACTTTGACCTGGCTAGTTAGGTCAGGAGAGTGAACCAGCTGATAAGAGAGCTCTCCCTGGGCCTGGCATGATAGCGAAGTGGTTAAAGTTCTCACCTTGCACGTGCCAGGATCCCATATGGGTTCTGATTCTAGTCCTAGCAGCCCCACTTCCCATCCAGCTCCCTGCTTGTGGCCTGGGAAAGCAGTCAAGGGCAGCCCAAAGCCTTGGGACACTACACTCTTGTGGGAGACCTGGAGGAGCTCCTGGCTCCTGGTTTCGGATTGGCTCAACTCCAGCCGTTGCGGTCACTTGGGGAGTGAATCATTGGTCGGAAGATCTTCCTTTTTGTCTTTCCTCCTCTCTGTATATCTGACTTTCCAATAAAAAAATAAATCTTAAAAAAAAAAAAGAAGAAGAGGGAGAGTTCTCCCTGTGTCATTGTCTGTCTCCCATTTGCCTCTTAAATAAATAGAAATAAAAGTTTTAAAAAGGGATAATTTTGGGCCCGGCGCAGTGGCGCAAGTGGTTAAGGTCCTCACCTTGCACGCCCCGGGATCCCATATGGGCACCGGTTCTATCCCAGCAGCCCTGCTTCCCTTCCAGCTCCCTGCCTGTGGCCCGGGAAAGCAGCAGAGGACGGCCCAAAGCTTTGGGACCCTGCACCCGCGTGGGAGACCCGGAAGAGGCTCCTGGCTTCAGATCGGCATAGCATCGGCCGTTGAGCTCACTTGGGGTGTGAATCATTGGACGGAAGATCTTTCTCTCTGTCTCTCCTCTCTGTATATCCGCCTTTCCAATAAAAAAATAAATCTTAAAAAAAAATTTTTTAAAAAGGGATGATTTTAACAACTTTGTATAACTCATACACGGCAAACTCTATTTAAAGAGTATCATTTTACACAGACACATGCACATACACCCAGACAATGAACATACCCATCATTTCTTAAATCTTCCTCATGTGACCCCTAAATCCCATCTCTCATTGCCTGCAACCTCACTAGGCAATTACTAATGAATTTTTATTACTATACATTCATTTATATTTCCTAGGATTTTATTGAAATGGACCCCTAAGTTGTAGAGTCTACTTTAATGGCTTCTTTCAGAAATATTGTTTTGAGATTCACTGATGTTGCAGCACATAGCATTAGTTCATTCCTTCATTGTCTAGCATAGTATTCCTTTGTAGGGAGATGCCTTAGTGGAGTTATGTCTTTCTTTTTTTTTCCTTTTTTTTTACTCTGTGCTGATGGAAGATTATTTCTCTTTTTATTATTATTTTATATTTATTTATTTATCCCATAGCTTCTGGGATTTCCAGTCCCTAACTCTCCTCGCCTTCACTGCTGATTTCCCCTCTAGTATTACAATGAGTAGTCCTTCATGGCTAGTAATTAGTCCATCATTCTGCTATTGAAATGTTCCCAGACATTGTATATGCCTTTCCTTTTTAAGGAACATTTTGATTGAGTACCACTTGGGACTATTACAAATACACGATTATGTCCCAATAAACCTTCATAAGTAGAAAATGTATTAAGTAGAAATGCGTTTAATGCATTTACTATACTGAACATCACAGCATCACAGTTCACTGTGGAGTGTCAGGTGTTCACTTGGTGGTCATAGGCGATTTCCTGTATCCTAAGAGGGTGCTCTACTGCATATCACTAGCCTAGAAGAAATAGCAAAACTCAAAGTGCAGTTTCAATAATGTGATCATGTTCATATCACTATAAAGTCTGAAAATCACAAGTTAAGACATTGTAAGACCAAGAACATCTATAAAGCTATGAACATTCATGTACAGTCTTTGTATGGACATCTGCTTTCACTTCAATAAATACCTGCAAATGGAATGGCCGGATGATGTCAAAGATATGTTTTTAACTTTAAAAAATTGCCAATTTTTCCCCCCAATGGTTTTA